TTCAGGAGACTCATGACGAGACAGACTTACCTACAGAAGTGGGTCCAGTTTGCGGTATGGAATTCAGCTCATGCATGGGGCGACAATATAAGACATACTAGAGTACATCTTCAACCTGCAGGACAAAGGACTATCAACTAGTTCCATCAACATACATCTGGCAGCTAAATGAGCACTACACCCACTGATCCAAGGCCATTCTTAAGAGATTTCGGAAAAGGATACAAAATCTATGTCCACCACGGAGCGACCCAGTTCCATCATGGGACTGGAACTTCATGCTTGACTCAATCATGAGACGGCTTTTTGAGCCGCTTGCAATGTGCTCACTACTCCATCTATCAATGAAAGTAGCCATTCTCGTAGCGAGAACATTAGCCAGGAGAGTATGAGAGAGAGCTGTTAACGGTGTTCCACAAAGACAAGGTTGTCCTCAGAACTGACCCAAAATTCCTTCCCAAGATACTTACCTCATTCCATTGTAACGAATCGATATACCTACCTGCGCTCTTCCCAAAACCACATGAGGACAGCGCTACACACGCTGGATATACGCACAGCATTAGCCTTCTACCTGGACTGTACTTCCACCAAACACCCAGACTATTTGTGTCATGCATGAGTAGGTCCAGAGGTCAACCTGTTTCCAGACAGCAAATATCCAAATGGATCTCTGCATGCATACAGCTGTTCTACTCCCAGAAACACAGACAGCCACTAATAGTCGTATGGGTGCATTCCACAAGATCAGTGTCTATCACTACTGCTTTCCTTAAAGGTCTACCCATAGACATTATTTGCAGAGCAGCAACATGGCCTTCGGCCAATACTTTGACACAACATTACTCAATTCAGACCTTTGAGGACACAAACACTAGATTTGGACGTGCGGTATTATCCAATATCCAATCCTGCATCACAGAGCGCCCACCTAAGCAGGAACGCTGCTGCATAGTCACCTAAGTGAAGCATCCACAGTGACCCTCAAAGAAGAAGAGAAGGTTACTTACCTTGTACAGTAAGTGGAGTTCTTCGAGATGTGTCACCATGTGTGCTCCACATCCTCCTTCCTCCCCTCTGATACGGGCTAGGAGTGTCCAGCTTAGAGAAGGAACGGAGGGAATGGCTGCTGGCATGTGTGCAACTGTCATTCCAAATGATTGTGCAATAGTGCAGCTTGAGCCAGTGACTGGAGGACTGCCAGCAAGAATCTCCAGGCCATGTGCACAGCGGCACTAACACACCTAAGTGGAGCACCGATGGGAACACATCTTGTAGATCTCCAGTTATTGCACAAGGTGAGTAACCTTCCCATATTTATTAATGTGACTCTTTGAGCCATTCTACTTTTCCCAAATTAGTCCTTTTTTTTTGCTGCCAGAGCCTTTCTTATTTTCTGATTCTTGCATATCTCTCAATCCTGAATCCTTGAATCAGTCACTAGTCCTTTTGATAGAAGGGGATTAAATAAGCTTCTGCTTAGAGCTGTTCATGTGCCTTCCAGAGGCCTCACAATTAGTGCTGCATAGCTTGCCCTGATCATCTGGAATGCTTACAGCATTCTTGAAGGCCAGCCTGACTGTAATGTGTAATACTCCAACCTCTGCTAGTCAATGCAGTGAGAAATAGTGCCCAGAAATTGTGTATACCTGCGTATGTGGTATTATTGTTAGTTTATTGTGCCAACAAGTAGTTTTTTAATCCCATAAATGCACCTTTGTAGTGTTCTTAAAGAAATACAATGGATTTTTTTTGTAGCAGCAGCAGCTGTAAAAGTGCATAGTAGAGCATTTTAGGCACATGCATAAAGCACATAAGGTTATTTACTATGAGATTTATATCTATTTATTATAATCCTTTTTACTTTTGTGATTAACCAAAAAGTTAAAGTAGGGGAGCATCATATCTCCAGAGAGAACAACATTCCCAAAGTAGATAAGAGAATGGAATGTTTTATGATTGACAAAGCCAGCTGTCTAGTGCTTTCAGGTTTGCTGTGGTGACTGCTTAAAAATCAGTCATTAGGGCAGTATATTGAAAAGGTAGAAAGGCTTACAATCAGGACATACCTTCATTTTTATAGTCCGGTTTGTCTATCTGAACACCTGTCTATGCAGTTTTACTCACAAGCAGCTTTTTCTGGTTTATTAGTTTTACCAGTTGTTCATAAAAGCACAATATATTTCTTTTATCTTTCTTTATTGGTTAATGTCTCCACAGCAGAGTAGATCACACTAAAGATAATCAGTGAAACAACACAGTAATGTGTACACTGAGCTGTACATCAGCAAAAAACCTCCCTATTAAATAGCTATAAAGTATTTTCAAAGCAAAATAAGCTTTTGCTCCTAAGAGTAGCTTCTCTTTATCAGAAATCTGGGAATTGTACTGAGATGAAGAGTTGGCTTAATTTTTAAGCGACTCTCAGTAACTCCAATTCCCTCAACAGTATAGTGCATTCTGAATGGAAGGAAGACTTTCAAGTAGGAATAAGGGATCTTCCGGAAAAGGGCTTATTTTCCGCAAGATCCCGTCTAGACTGGTGCTTTTCTCCGGCAAAACCCCGAGCCGGAAAAAAGCGGCAGCTATGTTCATGCAAATGCCACGGGGGATATTTAAATCCCCTGTGGAATTTGCAATTCCGAAGTGTCTCATTAGCATCCCTTTTCCGGAAAGGGGTGCCAGTGTAGACACAGCCTCCCTGTCTACAGTACGTTCTTTATCCCAAGCATTTCAAGTTTGAAAAACTCTAGAATGCTGTTGTTCACCTCTGGATGCTTCCCTTACCATGAACACCTGTGTACATTTAATAATTTGCAGTTTATATAGCCAAACTGTCATGAAACATACTAGGGATGTCATTGTGTACTGTAGACAATTACGTGATTAACCGATAAGCCTGGGCTTATCAGTTGATCTTATCAACTACATGCATTTTCTCCCATCCCCACCTGTTGCCTCTGTATCAGAGGCAGCAAGAGGAACTTGAGCCAGTGCCCATGAGAATCCGACCTTAATTAGGCTCCCCACAAGCATTAGATCTGCATGCCCCCAGTTTCTCTGATAGAAAGGCAGCAGCGTGGAGGGGAAGGGGACAGGCTGGAGCCTATACATATAGGGAGCCATCTTTCAAGCAGGCTCTGTTTGCGTGCCTACTGTGCAGACATGCCCCTCCCGCCTTTGCCGCTTCCTATAGAGGCGGGGGGGGGGGTGGGGGACGGGGTGGGGGGGGTTTAAAAGCAGATTTCCCCCCCGCCCCCAGCACCAGCTCTCCGGTGTCACCTTTTCCTTCCCCCCCCCTTTCCCCAAGCCCCACGTGTTGCTGCTTCCTCTTGGAGCAGGGGGAGGGTGCCGGAAGCCAGCCTCTGTCTGTGGCAGCCCGCGCTCCCCCCAGACAAAGGCTGCTCCACATCCCACAGAGCAGTCTCTGTTCACAGCAAGCTGGGCCTGCCACAGACAGAGGCTCCTCTGTGGCAGCAGCCTCTGTCCGTGGGGAGCTCAGTCCCCCCCCACGGACAGGGGCTGCTGCCACCCTTTGCTGCTGCCTCTTATACAGCAGGGTGGCAGACAGTCGGTGTGAGATGGGAGCTGATTTTTAAACTGACTCCTGTAGCGGACCAGCTGCACCTGTCACCTGCACTGCTGCTTCTGATAGAGAGGCAGCAGTGCAGGGTGACAAGGGGCTCCCTGGGAGTGGGGCTGGGAGTGTACTGACTGCTGGCCCCGTTCCCGGAGACTATCAAGTAGCCATGTAACCACTAAGATTACATGCAGTTATTTGACTATTCAATTACACGATATCTAACATTCCTAAAACAAACAGAATAAACAAAATTGTCATCTTATTGTGGCTTCTTATTATGGGTCCTTCATAAAATTATTAGTACCTCTCATGGAAATGACTCAACTTTTTCCAAAACAAGTAGGACTACATTGGAGTTTCTATAATGCTTCCATTTTTTTTTCTCTTCAGTGTACAGGATGGACCTCCTGGTCCAGCACCCTCGGGTCCTCACTAGTCCCAGCTGAGGGATTTTGTCGGACCAGGGGAAATCATATCTGGCCCCTCAACTACCGCCTCTTTCCCCCCTCCCGCCCACGCTAGACCAGCTGCAGGCCCTGCTGCCCGGCTGGTTCCCCCCTCTCCTTCCTCCTGCTATGCTGTGCAACCCAATTTGCTGAGTAGCCCAGCTAGGGCATACTGGGCAGCCTAGCTGAGCAGCCCCACTGCAGTGTATCAGTCCCAGCTCCTCCGGGTAGCCCAGCTGGGATGCGCTGAGCAGCCTAGCTGAGCAGTCCCGCTGCGACGCGCCGGGCTCCCAACCCCGGCAGGCAGCCCCACTGGGGCACATCCAGCTTCTTAGCTATGGGAATCTAGCCAGTGGGGCCAGGAGTCAGCTTGCTACCTACAACCCTGCCAGTTCGCAGAACTCCTAGGTTCCAGTGCTCCGCTGGGATTCTCTGGTCCTGGAACATCCATGGTCTTGCCGTACCATGGATGTTGCTGGAACAAAGAGTCCCCATTTGCAAAGGTTCAACTTATAGTTATTGACTGTACTCCCAGTTTGCTTGTGATAGATCTAAAACTTGTGTTGCCTGCTTCCAGGACTTGTGCTGAATTGCAGGGAGATAGGCCGTGGTAAAGGGGACTGTTTCTCTAATAGTGAGCCTAGCTCATCAATCTTCATATTTTACCACTCTTGGTATGGCACTTGATAGCGTAAGTTAAGTGTTACAGGGCATTGGGTTAAAGACACTGATGTTTGGTTAGTGACAAGGCACTGATTTAGGACATGATTTTGCAGATTTATACCAGTGAATGATCTCAGATACGTCAGTGAGACTGGCCATGTGAATAAAGGCTCCCTTACTTATTTAGTTCTGCTTCCTTCTGTTTCAAACAACTATTACATTGTAATGGAATTTGGTTTTTGCACAGGAAATTTGAAATAGTTCTCCTAATTATTCTACATACAAGACATTTGTGATCTTCTTTCCAGTATGAAACATTCAGAACAGAAGAAGAAGAGAGAATAAAAGCCCAAGGACAAGATGTCAGATCATCAGTATATTTCATGAAGCAAACCATCAACAATGCTTGTGGAACGATTGGGCTTATTCATGCTATTGCAAACAACAGAGAGAAAATGAACTTTGGTAAGTATGTTCTCTTAATAGACTTAATTTTTGGAAGGTAGGTGGCACAATACACCTTTTATATTAATGAAAGCTCTTTAAAAGATGCAAGTAGAAATTTAGTTTGTCTTGTCTTAATTATACAGCAGCAATACAGCACAATTTTTTGTTAGATGGTATAGATTAAGGCATTTTAGTAATTCCAAGGACACTAAAACAACATATAGTTAAGGGAATGAAATATAACTCCACATTCAAAGTAGTGGATACCATATTAATATTTCACACCATAATAAGAGTCTAAATTCAAATTGTTTTATTCTTGTATGTAGTGGAATAGAATGTGTTGCTTTTCGGATTTTAGTCTTTCTCTAAATGGAAATACACTCAGTATACCTTGTGTAACAAGGTTTTTAACAAAGTATTAGTCCAGAGGAAAAGGAAAGAATAAATAATACAAATCGAAATTGTTCTTTGTTATAACCTTTCAGTTTTCATCTAATGCTCTAACTTGTTGAGAATGGAAAGAGGAATGGAGTGATTTATTAATTTTTTTGTATTTATTTTTAAGAATCAGATTCTACATTGAAAAAATTCTTGGCGGATTCGTTATCAATGAGCCCTGAAGAGCGAGCCAAATATTTAGAAACCTATGAAGTTAGTATCTTTTTTTTTAAATATGATAGAATTATTAGCAGAAATAGTCCTGATCCTGTGTCATGGTCCAGCAAACACTGATGTACTTAAATAGTCCCATTGTGGAAATGGGATTGCTCACATGTTTAAAGTTAAGCATGTGCTGAAATGCTTTCACAGATTAAGACATTAATGCTTTATTGTAAATGTCACTTGCTACTACAGATTGGACTTCCCTGATCTCATACTTTTGGGACTTGACTAGTCCCGGATGAGGGACTTTGCGAGACCAGGGGAAAGTCATTTATGGTCCTCCTGCCACTAGCACCCTCCAGCCCTGGCCTGACTGAAGGCCTCCCAGCCAGTTCCCCCTCGTCACTGACCCCCACTGTCCTGTCAGGCTGCCCCTCTACCTTTGCATGCAGCAGCCCCATTACATCCATGCACCAGGCTTCTGCTGCAGCAACCGGCAGCCCCGCCGCCCCCACGCACCAGGCTCTCGGTGCAGTGCCTGGCTCCTGGTGCCGTGCTAGGCAGCCCTGGTGCTTCTGTGTGCTGGGCTCTTGCTGCTTTACTACCGTGAATAGGGCTTCCACTGCCCTGCCAGGAAGCTCTGCTGCCGCATGTCAGGCTGCCAGGCGCTAGCTCTCCATTGGGATTCTCTGGTCTCTTCTGGACCAGAGTTTCAACATGGAGTGGGGAATTAGTAATCTCACTAACATGTAGATGGTTTTAAAAACTTTACATGAAACAGCATTACAGTTATTTTAAGCATTTTAAAAGTTTAGTTTTAAAAGGCGGTTTTATCTTCTTTTTTTTTTTTTAATTGAGATCTTGGGGTTAGTTAATTTCTAATCAATACTTCTAATAGTTACAACCCTAAAAGTCATACACTATAGTATATGGCATAGGTTCAGTGACTTCCATAGGCTACAAGTTAAAATGAAGAGTGTGGAATGAGTCTTTTAATGCTTGCTATTTTGAGAAATCTTTTTTTTTGTGTGTGTTTTGTGGGGGGATTTTTTGGTTTGAAATCTAATACGTTATTCTAATTTCAGGCTATTCGTGTTACTCATGAATCCAGTGCCCATGAAGGTCAGACTGAGGTACTCCATTTTTTAATTTTGTTAATTTTATGAACATAATACTGTGAAGAATGTTTCAAATTATAATTATAATATGCAGAGATGTCTGCAGATTCAGTCAGCTTCCAACATCTCTAAGAAGAGCGAACTGGTTTCTGATTAAGCCAAAGCAGGAAGTATGAATAAAATACAGAATTACAGGTGGAAAAGCATTTCTTGTACTTAATCAGGTAAAAATAGGCTACTTGAAATTGTGGGTACAGACTTGGTTGCCTATAGCACAGTCTGCAAAGGTTTAGTTTTTCAGGTATAGGAAAATAAAGGTTTTCTGGATTACATAGCTGGTTACTTAGCAAAAGTCTATCTTCTGAATTCAGGCTTCTGGGAGAACCAGAAGTTCTTCCTAAATAGTATTTATCATTAATAAAATAGCTTTTATTACAGTTTTTGAAAAAAAGGAAAAATTGGTGCCAGATATCTCTCTCACAAATAAGCAAAAAAACAAAAACAAAAAACCAACCAAACAAAAAAAACCTTGTTAAAAATCTCTTGTCACCACTTTACTATACCAAATTCCAAAAACAACTTTCCAAAGCAAAGAACAAGATTCAGATTTACTCCCAAAATAACGTTACTAAAACAGATGGGGGTGGGAGGGTAGTGAGCCCGCAGGGAAGAGCTTTTAATGCGAAGTGGCCACTGAGCACAACTGCACCCCTAAAGAGAGTGGCCAGCAGAGCCGGGGCTCTAGTATCTTGCCTGCCACCAGGCTGAGTAAATAGCCATCCTGCCCCAAATCTCTCCTCCCCCCTTTTCCCCCAAGACCTTGGCCACTGTGCTGGTGGGGAGGAGGAGGGAAGGCCCCAATGACCAAGAGTGGTTAGGGGCCAGAAGGTCCCTGGCAGCTGGGGGCAGGCGAGAAAGCTTCACCAGATAGGACCCCCCTGTGCTGAGCCCCTTCTCACCATCCAGCCCTCATGCCCCAACCGCAAGACCCTGCCCTGATTTCTGCACCCCTTACACTGCCAGTTCCCTGCCCTGAAGGACGTGGGCAATTCTGGGTAAGTCTTCCAGTAAATATAAATTCATTTTACACACAAAAGCAGGAGAATCATACTCCAAGCTCATAGTATAAACATAGCCTAAGAGAGAAGTATGAGTGTGCAGATCATTTTTTTTTTTGATAATCTGAGCTGAAGAGCATCAAAAACAGTTAAGGTTGTCACAGAGGAAAGCACTGAATCTGAAACCACCATTTTTTTTTTTTTTTTAAACTATGGATACATATTGTACATGAGAAGAAAATAGCCTATAACAGTACAGAAAACCAAGTGGTGGGAGCTTTAATGGTGTTAGCAAGGAGTTGTAAAATGAATGTTTGGAAGAGATCTGTAGAAGGTTTAAGAGAAAATATGAATAGCAGAATCATATTTTAAACAAAATTCAAGAGTGTGCAAAGATCGTCTTAGAGAAACAAAACAGTGAGATCTGGTGATGGAATGAAAATATTTCTGAAGGAAAAAGAAATTGCAACAAATAGTGCTAAGCAACATTCCAGCAGGATTTTTCAGCCATATAAAAAGCCAAAAAGATAGCAACCACTAAGCCAAAAGACAGGAAAGGTTTATTTGACCATTTTGAATCGAAGGTAGGTGAGAGAGAAATGTATAAACTAAAAAGGGCCTGGGATAAGAGAACTGAAGACATTAGTGAGATCAAAACTACTAAATATACATTTAGAACAACATTAATGAGAACCAGATTGAAGAACAGTGGAGAAATTACTTGAAAAAGTTTTATGAATGAAGAGAATCCAAGAGAACAATGATGTGCAATTAAAATCAAACCAGATCCAGAAGTAGCACAGAAGCATTGGGTAACCTGAAAAATAATTCTGTACCTTGGTGGCATGCCAACAGAAGTGAAGAAGGATTGAACATATCACCACAACAGTTTAATTCCATAATGAACATTAGGATGATGTTTCATGCTTGGAGAAGAATGGAATACCAATACTTAAGAAGAAAGCAGACATACCAAGACTGGGGTAACTGCTGCAACATTAAACTTGTGAACCACACAACGAAGACTTGGGCAAAAGCTATGGATAAGAAAGTATAAAAAGAACTAAAGATGAGTGGCATTCAGTTTGGATTTTCTTGCCAGGGAGGTCAACAATGAATGCAGTCTTAAATCTTAAGAGTGTGTTATCAAAGCAGTTATTGGGTCATGTATGAGAATGAAATAGATGCCTGAAGGCCATAAGTAAGGAGTAAATGGATTCTAGTAATACAATAGTACATTAGGGCTCTGCAGTAAGCACCTTTTTGTTCACAGTTTGATGCTTGCTGCACTTACAGAAAATATCCAGAGAATGGCACCCTGGTGTGTGCTTCTTACAGATTTATGTGCATGTTGGGGAAAGCAAAGAGGAAGTGGAAGAAGATTCAGAAATATGGGGGGGGGGGGGCTGAAACAGCATGAAATCAGTAGAAATAGGACAGAGTATAAGATTTTAGATTCAGTTAAATCTTTCATTAAAACAAAACTGAAGGAACAGCTACTATCAGTTGCAGAAGCTGAAGTGCCTAGGCTTGATAGTACAGATGAAATTAACAACAAATGAATAAGCAGAAAGGCATGTATTAAATGGAGAAAAGTGAGTGAATTCATTTTTAATATAATGCCTGTCAAACTGAAAATAAGATACAAGATGGTAATTGGGTCTGCACTTTTGTATGGCTCCAAATGCTGGGCATGAATGAAGAGGCAGGAGAAGATCTTGAATACAGTGGAAATGAAAAGGCTATTATGGATGCTTGGAGCTAACAGGATAGACTGTTAGGAACAAATGAGTTAGGGGAAGTGTGAAGACGATACCAATTATAGAAATGTTGATGAAATCCAGACTTGTGTGGTTTGGACATGTGAAAAGAAGGTCAGAAGAATATATAGGAAATAGGGTGTTAGAAGTAGAAGGTAGGAGAAGGGCTGGAAGATGCATACTAGATGGCAGGATGCTATACAAAAGGATTTGATTAGCTGCCAATTTTCTGAGAAACTGCTTCAAGAAAAAACGTAAACAACAAATGGTCTGGTAGCACTTTAAAGACTAACAAAACATGTAGATAGTATCATGAGCTTTCGTGGGCATAGCCCATTTCTTCAGATGACCAGAGTGTTGGATGTCCAGAACCAAAAATAAGGGAGAGGGGAGGTGAAAGAGGAAAAAAGAGGTACTGGATATGTAAGTATCAAAGGAAAAGCCGAGCAGCATGTAACAGGCAAAACTGATAGTATGAGCACCTAAAGACTGGATAGTTAGAAGCAGATACAAACCATTAGTTAGCAATTAGAGGAAGAGTACTGACACCAGATTCTACACAAAGAACCATTGGCACCTTCATTGGTTGGTTGGTAGATAATGCCCAGCCATCCTGGTATCTCAATTCAGACCATTGGTATGAGAATTAAACTTGTGAATGAATTGTAGTTCCAATCCTACCCTGTGTATTTGGCTTGTGGAATTGGTCTGTAACAAAACAGTAATGTGAAGATCTCTTAATGAGTGACCAGGCAGATTAAAGTGTTCGCCAGCAGGTTTCTGTATGTTCCCTTTATAGATATCTGATTTGTGTCCATTGATTCTTTTCCGTAAGGACTGTCCAGTTTGTCCAATATATAATGCAGTGGGGCATTGCTGGCATTTGATGGCATAGATCACATTACTGGATGTGCAGTTAAATGAGCCTCTGATTTGGTGGCATAAGTGATGAATTCTCTTGTATAGATATGTGGGCAGAGTTGGGACCAGGGCTGATGGGAGGGGTGGGTTCCTGGATGATTATGATGTAGTTGTGTAGCATGGTTACTGGAAAGAATTTCTTTCAGGTTGGAAGCGTTGTTTGCAATAGGCCTTTCCCCCAAGGACTCTTGAGAGTGAGGGATCATTTTCCAAGATAGGTTGTAGATTGTGGATAATGCGTTGGAGGGGTTTAGGTTGCGGACTGTAGGTAATGACAAATGGAATTCTGTTGTTTTCTCTTTTGGGTCTGTCTTGAAGTAGTTTGTGTCTGGGTACATTTTTGGCCCTGTCAGTCTGTTTCTACACTTCTCCAGGTGGCTATTTCAGTTTTAGGAATGCTCTATGTAGATCCTGTAGGTGTTTGTCTCTGTCTGTGGGATTGGAGCAAATCCGGTTATATCTTAGGGCTTGGCTGTATACAGTGGATTGAGAAATGTGTCTGGGATGGAAGCTGGAGGCATGAAGGTAAGTGTAGTGGTCAGTGGGTTTCCAGAATAGGGTGGTAGAAATTTGTCCATCATTTAATTGTACTGTAGTGTCAAGGAAGTAGTTTTCTCGTGTGGACTGGTCCAGGCTGAGGTAGATGGTGGGGTGGAAGTTGTTGAAATTCTTCAAGAGTCTCTTTTCCGTGGGTCCATATGATGAAGATGCCATTGATGTAGCGTAAGTAGAGTAAGGCGGTTAGGGGGTGAGAGCTGAGGAAACCTTGATCAGCCATACAGATGTTGGCATATTGTGGTGCTATGCGGGTGCCCATGGCTGTGCCACTGACTTGAAGATACAAATTGCTTCTGAATCAGAAGTAGTTGTGGGTGAGGACAAAGTTACAAAGTTCTGTGATCAGGTGTGCAGTGCTGTCTCAAGCATTGGCATACTTACAACAGGATTATCTGGCTAGATCGACTCCCTTCTCAGACCTATGCTACCAGCACTACTAGCTACCTCTGCGACACCACTGACTTCCTGAGGAAACTTCAAAACATCAGTAATCTATCTGAAAATACCATCCTGGCCACTATGGACGTAGAAGCTCTTTACACTAACATTCCACATGAAGACGGATTACAGGCCATCAGGAATACCATCCCTGATGACAGCACTGCACACCTAATTACAGAGCTCTGTGACTGTCCCTTAAAAGAGGTATGACTGTATTTTTCTTCCTTGACCAGAAAAAGTTCCTCCATCATTGTAGTTTAAAACCTTTTCAGAAACA